GGAAATTGAGTAGACATGAGAAATTGAGTATCAAATTAGATGAAGATGAAAGCATGGAAGAGCCAAACATATTTGAAGTAGCAAATGCATTAAATGGAGGACAAAACACTTCAAAACTTGTTGAGTTTAAGTCAGAGCTGGGCGTAATGAAAAAGAAAAGAGTTAAAATGAAAAGTTGGCGCTGAAGGGGAGAATTGAAGAAATCATCACCAACTTTAAATATCTAGAATTTGCTAGACATTAAGCATGCAGAATATTTTAGAGACTCGTTACTTGCCAGAAATAATGTACCGCCATTGTAGGATTATTCTAGAATTGATGCAGCCACCTCCATCGACATACTAAAGTTATGTAGAGGGATCATCCTCCGACTTTGTTACCTATATATATGTGTGTTGCTGTATATGAAAGTGTGTGTGAAGAGAGTGATGAAAGGTGAGCTAAGAGATAGAGAATGAGAGGCACACATATATGAGTGGTGTGGGTGAGAGAAATTAATCAAGAAAAGTCAGTGGAGTGATATAATTAAATAGTAAGGTGCTAGCTTCAGTGGAATTTGGTGTGGTGTGGTAAGGTGTGTTTGTAATAAAATCAATTTTCATTTGGCCTCTAAACTCAACAGAATCAAGTCATCCTAGTACTTCTTTCAGTTTTGTCTCGATAAGGTCATTGTTAGTCTCCATATCTACATCCGATCTTTTCCTTTTATATTAACATGATTTTCTACGTGGCCTAATTTGTACAAAACTATTTATTATACCCTTCCTCATTTTCCAATTTGGATAGGCATTGGCAGGCCTCTGACTTGGTGGTTTTCCCAAACTATATGGTCTTTTCATTGAAGGTGAAGATATTTATTAATTTTGAGTAATGTTATTTAGCACCAGCATCGTGAAATGATCGATGACCTTAAACGTAAGGAAATGAGTCATATTTAATATGCTATTTGAAGCCATCTAGACTAGTGTTATAGCACTAGTGATACTAAATAACATTATTCTTAAAATTGACTTGCTTTAGATTATCTATCTGTAAAATGTGTTTGTAACTATAAAGCACAGCAAAGAATCTCCCAACTTTACAACAGTAATTGCTATTGTGCAATGAGGAATCATAAGATTTCTCATTTTCGCAATCCTGCAATCGATATGCTGAATAACTTATCGACTTTTTTAGGGAAAGCTTCACTATTCATGATGGTTTTAAGCATGGGACACTTTGTGATCCAGTCTATGCCCATCCTCCTGGAAAAATTCGTAGAAAGGTCTATAAAAACTCAAAGCTAATGCCAGATGTCCTTCATTTTGAGTTGTTCCCATGTACAGAACTCTGGACGAACTTATTTCAAGAATATGGTCTGGATAGGAAAAACATTGGGCATTATTTCCATCCAAGTGCGAGCAAAAGGTATATATATCTACCATGCGTTCACAGGCTCCTGTAAATCCCATCCTTCTCTTCAACTAGTCATGTGCTGTTTTATTCCATTCATTTATGTATCATTTTGTAGATCTGAAGATTATTTTTCCTTGCTAGAGTCTATGATTAAGAAACACTGGGCATTGAGGAAACAGATTGCCGGCGTTGAATTGATGTTATTTCCATCCACACGCCTGACCCTGGATTGTAAATTTGAGTCTCGAGTCTCTAAATTTGTTCATTATTTCCATTTTTGATAGATCTGTCTGACATTTTATGTGTTGTCTTTTGCGCCTTTATTACTGATGGTAGCTGTGGACCAGTTATGTAAGTTGATATTATGTGTTTTGGCATTCATCTAAAATTATATACATCGATCTTCATATTGAGTTGGGGGTTGATTTTGAAAGGTTGGGAACCAACTTGCTATGGGGAATGGATTGAAAACCAATAGCGCAATGTTTCTCTGACCTTTTATGATTGTGAATGTGCGTGCCATTATAATTTCATCAAACAAGCATAAGTTGAACTACTTTATCTTAAAATTTAAGTTGTTGCAGAGTTGACGAATTATTTATTTAAACTTACATTTTATATATAACACTCGCATCTTTCTTTAAAGAAACGTGGATTCTCTATAAGGATGTCCAGCATTGGATGTCCAAGATAGAATTTAGAAACTAGAAAATTGATGAATATAGAATTGATTAAACCTCAGAATACAAAATTCATACATATACAGCAGCACTCATATCTCTAATTTATACACAAAGATGAATACATATAATACATGCAACCTACACTAAGAGTGACGGAACATGCCATTAAGAATCTCTAGAATCATGGATGGTTAGTAATGCTGTGGTTGAATCAGTTGCAATGGCCGTACTGCCATATTCCGTTAGCTTCAAGAACTGGTAAGGTAAAGTCGTACTTCTCTGGTATTACGTTTTTATCATCTTTTGTAGTTAGTGCTTCTTTGTCCCTCATCTTCTTGAGTTGTGCGGTTTGGTCCTCAATGTTATCTTTTCTAAAATCCCCCTTCAAGCTGGAGGTGATATCTTCTACTACAAGCTTGCTACGTAAGTACAGATGTCTCGAATTAAACAAT